AAAGCATATATATTACAACTGTACAAAAGGTGCTATACTCTAAAGAAGAAATCTAACCTATTCTGTGTGTATGTGTGTGTGATAAACACACACACACACACATATGGAGAGAGAGACAGAGACAGAGACAAAGAGAGAGAATATCATAAAAGAAAAACATCCTGTGCTAAACAACCAGGGGCAGAGGGTGGGAGGAAGCTGATAAAAAAAAATGTAAAAAAACCAAGAGAGGAAAAAGCTTAAATAGCAAGTTAACAACTAAATAAAACAAAATGCACCCTCCCATTACATCAGTGTTACATCTGTGTTACAAAATGGAAGTTAATAAATAATCCCAGTGTTATTGTGTAACATCACGAAAATCAAAATCATCATCAACATAAAAGAAATGTAATTTTAACAAGGAAATCCTGAGTATTGAACCTTCCATAAAAAAATAACCAATATCTTATTAATCTGTTTAAAATATCTAAGTGGAACCAATGTAGACATTGCTCACATCAAGACATCAGTTCTGGTATCATTTTCAGATTAATTCTATCCCACCTACTTATAGATATTTTCATCTCCCTCTTAATAACCACTTTCATCTGGGCAATACATTTTGAAATGTTCTTATCCACTAAAATGGATATTTTCATATCATGTAAATATTATATGTATTCTATTTTTGATTCATATACTTTCTAAGATGCATCCTTCCCAAATATGTAATTTTTGTGCACAGTTTTTAGATGGGAAATATGTTTAGGTGGATATTTGCAGATTCCATGAATTGTGTCTCATTCATGCTCTGTTGGATTCTATTTTGACAGAACACACTGCTTTCCTTGAAGAGAAATCTGTGACAGATTATTCCCATATCCCTAGTATATATACCCCCCACAGACACTCAGATTTCAATCTAAACTCCCTATAAGACCACAAAATGTAAATACATTACCTATTGTCTGCAAGATCTTAATTTGCACTTCCTTGGTCAAGAAGATAAAACATGTTACTTTCTTCTTCAGAAGACAACATTTCAAACTTGGTATGCTAAAAATCTCAGATCCTTTGTTGACTGAGCTTTTATGTGAGCAATATAAATACAGCAGTAGGTCTCCGTCTATTCAAAGATGGTTGACTTAATAACTTAAGTCAGCTTAAAACAACATTATATCCTGGTCTTTTAGCTACAGATTGAAAGATAGAAAAATCAAGTTCAGTTAAATTCAAGCCACAGCCACTTGCTTCTGCTTACCTGTTTCTTCCCTCCATTGGGACTGAAGCCAGTGACTAGCAGAGATTACTGATAAAAGAATCTTTACTAAATCAATATTCCAGTAGATAGATGGCTTATTAAAGCAGTGGCCTCCAGACATACAGCTGTGCTCATTTTCTACACAAATGGCTTAGCAGAGGCAAATAGTTCAAAATACTAGGTAAGTGTGGCCCCAAGTTCAGAAGGGGGACAAAAAGCTGCCTTAAGATCCCTTTGTCCTTCTGTTTATTCCCTATCCTATAATCCTTCCCAAACTGGAATGAAAACTCCATTTTCTGAGTTCCAGAATTATCAATCAATCAACAATTCAGAAACTAAAGCCTCAATGCAACTGGAGAGTGCTTGGTTGAGAAAGGGAATATAATGTATTCATTCATGTAAAAAAAATTATACATAAAGCAAATATCAGAAATAAAAGATTTTTTAAGGATATGCAGTAGCCATTTCATATCTGGAAGCAGACGTTTCAGCTACAGAAAGTTTTTGTTTGGTTTTTTGTATGGGAGCTTCAAGGATGTAAATGCTGAAAATGACATGAAACAAATGATAATAGGAAATCATTGATTTCTAAGTTCTGGGGAAGGTTTTTATACTAAAGTCATTAATTAATTAATTAACTTTGCTCGCTTGCTCACTTTATTTCTGTACTGCTCACAATTGTTTCTAGAGTTTTATAAAAAACAATACTGAACTATGAAACATAATCACCCTCAGCAAAAACCAGTGTCCAATCGCTCCTTCCCTTGGATGTCATACATTAAAAGCTCTGCTGGAATGTATTGTTTTGGCTGTCCTCTGAAAATATGTTAGGGAGGGTGCCATTCAGATTGCTGGAGGTCAGCTGTTCCAGGCAGTTGCATGCAAAAGTAGACGCACTCTTCCACAAATTATATGTTACAACAGATCCCTACATGAATAGAAGCTGACAGTGGTGTATGATGTTAAACACAACATCTTACTGCAAATTTGAATACATACTGTACTATTTATATGCAGTTATTTACATATTCAAAATAAGAAAATAGTAACTATATCGGGTGCAGAAGTTTGAACACCCTTGTTTCAGTCTTATTTATTTAATTAATTAATTAATTTTACTGTACAATAAAAAGGTAATTGACTTGTTAGGCCTACAGTTGGCCAGGTGAACACACTTTCACAGATGAACAAATACCTTGACTCTTCTAATCTCTCAAGTTTTGGTTGTTCATTTTGCCCAATGTTGGGCTCCTCTGAGCAGCCGAAAATGAAGAAAATTCACTCTTGCAAAGTTTAAGGACATGGCTATAAAAAAAAAAGCTAGTTAGAAATTTCAGCGGTGAGAAACATTGTTAAGAAAATAAAGTTAAATGGAATTGCTGAAGTCAAGGCAAGTTCTGGAAGACCAAGAAAAATCTTCACTTATAATAGCTGAAAATGGGTCAGAACAGAATCCACAGATCACTGCAGATATCCTGCTGAAAAATGTAGCTGACGCTGGAGTTGTTGTCCATAGGTCTGCAGTAAAACATTGCTTATGCGAAAGTGACCAGCATGGAGAGTTGTCAGGAAACCTTTCCTCTGACCTCATCACAGAAATCATTGTCTGAACTATGCAGGAGAAACCCTTGAGAGGCCTGAAATGTTTGGGAACAAAAGTCTTCAGACAGATGAAGAAAAAATTGACACGTTCAGCCACAACCACACAAGTTATATTGGGAGACAAAAGGTGAAGCATTTGAGGAAAAGAACTCTTTGGTGTGGCTTTATTATGCGTTGGTGTTGTGTTGCAGGGAATATTGTGTAGATGGAAGTAAGTATAAACTGAACTAAATATCAACATATCCTAGAGGCTAATATAACATCCCACAGTTGGTGAATAAGTTTAAATTGAAAAAAAGTTTCAGCATGATCGTAATCTAAAACATACTTCTAAATCAACTATGAAGTACTTATAGAAAGTAAAGTAAAGATATTGGAATCACCTTCACGGTCCCCAAGGTTTGAATCTGTGGGGACGTCTCAAACATGCAAAAAAGAGTGGGAGAAAATTCCAAAAGCAAGAATAAGCACTTAGAAGAAATGTTTCTTACAAGAAACGTTGGGAAGCTATCATTTCTGTCAAAGAGGGGTTACAAAGTACTGACTGGAAGGATTTCCAAACTGCTACTCCTACCATACTTGCCATAGTCACTTTTCCTTCTATTAAATTTGTAAACAATGGCACATAAGTAGTAAGTATGTATTCAAACTCGGAGAAAGATGTGTTTAACTCTGTACATTGTAGATGTTTCATCACCTTATTTTCTCTTAGGGAATCGTTGAAACAGACCATTTGACCAGGAGTGCCTAAATGTTTGTGTGCAA